GCATCAGTTGGGTTATTAACAGGACTAGTAGGTGAATCATCTAAATCCGGTTGGGTTTCATCTACATCCTCATTTTCCTCATCATTTTCTAAGATAGTTTGATTAGGATAAAGAGCATTCATAACTTCTTCATTTAATTGTTCACCTGGTGCAACATTATGGCAAAATTCACTATCGGAAAATTGAAAACAAGGGTTATCACTATCAAGAATAATAGGAGCAGCAGGACGGGTAATAGGTCTGGGTCGGGGAGCCGGGGGAAGGGTAGTAGGTTGGAGACTACTTTCACCAATTTTAGCTTTTCCCTTACCACCAAATATTTTTTTCAAAGAAAATGCCATATTAATTACAATTATGCAAACTAAACACACAAAAATATATTCTTAAAACTTAAGAGTTGGAACGAGTTTACCGAATTGCCGAACAACTTCTTGAAAATTGAAAATCGTTGAAGACTTGAATACTTCAATTCACCAACTTCACAATTTTTCACGAAATTGCAATAATAAAATAAGCAATTATAGAAGAGAAATTAGATATAGATTGAGAGAGATTGAGATAGATTGATGAATTGGTGAGTAAAAATGAAAGAATGAGGGGGTATTTATAGTTGAGAATTGAAAAAAAGTGTAATTATATAAAGTTTGGGGGCCAAATGGCTATTTTTTAAAGTTCCAAACGGTTGAAAATTAAAGGCCAACGGCTAGATTTTAAAATCTGACCGTTGGTCTTTTTAAAAAAAAAAAAATTTTTTTTTTTAAAAAAGAGCCGTTGGAGCCCGTTAGGACCGTTAGGCCCGGTTGAACCGGCCCAGGACCGCCTGCCGGTCCCGTACTTAGCGGTCCCGGTCTCGTGGGCCTCATGCAAGGGACCAGCCCGCCACGGGCTTTCTACACCATCAGGGACCGGCCCGCCAGGACCGGCCCGCCGGGACCGTTTAGCCCGTTAAGACCGCGGGCCCGGTCCGATCCCGGTCCCAGACCGGCCCACAATACAGCATTATTTGGAGGGGTCCCTTTTGTTTTATGTTTTATATTATTTGCGTGTCACAATTTCCCAGTGTCAAATTCAGATTTGTCTAAATTTCAGTCGCAAGTTTCCTCTCCTTCAATTAGATATTTTTGATGTTCCTTCACCTTTTCCAAAACATTGTATTTTAGTTAATTTTCATGATTTTTTTTAACTAATTCTTGTTTACCCCCCCCCCGGGCGACAAAGAAAAGGAAAATAAAAACAAATGGTTGCCACTTGGGAATAAAGGCTTCTTTAGCTTATAAATAACAATTAAAATTTCTTTCCATATTACAAATATGAAGGGGAACATGGTGGCGGAGCTAGAGTGCGAGGAGCGAGTTCGACCGAACCCAGTAGTTTTGGTTCGAACCTTGTATTTGTCTTAAAAAATCAATTGAATATGTGTAAATTATTATTTTAGAATCCTGTAACTTAAAACGATTAGAATCCCGAATCCATAAACTTAAAATGATGGTTCCGCCTTTGGGGGAACACCACAATCAATGGCTTTAAAATGATTTTCTTTGTGCTTTTTTTTTTTT